TGTGAACATGTGTGCTTATAGTTTGTGTACCATCGTTGTTTATGTGTGTGCATTAAATTGTAAGGACACGATGAGTGCAGAGGGAGGTGATAACACACACTGACGGGTGAGAGAGCCTGACAGTGTGAAGGAGAGAGAGAGAGAGAGAGAGAGGGGGGGGGGGGGGGGGGCATGAGAGGCATGAGAGGCGTTGGCTTTGCTCATCACAGTTAATACACTTGTAATGCTGATTATCTCTGGCCTGTCGTGTCGTGGATGGGTGAGATAGAAAGGAGGTGGGTTCAGTCGCAGAGGGATTAAAGGAGGAGGGAGGATGGATGAAGCAGGATGAGGAGCGCTAAAAGAAGGAATACTGTTTCCTGGCTGTAAGAAACGTGATAGTTATTGATGGATTCATTATATTTTATTACTTCTGTCGCAGCCAGTGTTTTAAATTACTTCTTTGGCTCACATGCCAAAAAAAGCAAATTACTTGTCAAGTTTGATTCACACTGGACGAATTAATGAACGTCCAATGTCCACAAATATGTCATATTGACTTTGTCATAACCAGACGGTGCCACAAAATGTCAAATTGACCGGACTGGTGAAGAAAAAAGACATTTTAAATGGATAATAGGCGACATATTTCCAATTTACACAAGTTCTTTGAGCATGTGATTGCTCTTCACTGGCTTATTTCCCCACAATCATTGAGAAAACTATCTGCGTGGTCACTTCCTGACCTGTTCAGTGGAAAAAACATCATATTCACAACCCATCTCGGCTGCTCTCAGCATAACAAAAAGGGCATGTTGTTATTTCACTTCAGGCTGGTGAAGACTTCCAGAGACAAATAGTCCCTCCTGATTACCAGACTTGTGAAAGTTTTGATGATTTCATAAACTGCAACCACAACAACATCTCTCTTTATCTCTGTGTTTTCCTTTCGGTGTCTTTGGCTGTGTGTATATGAGGCTCTCAAAGGTTTTGTTGAACATTTATGAGACTTTGCTGACTCATTTCACCACCTTTCATACCAAGCAATGTCAAAGTCTTCCTTCGCTTTTACCCCTCCCTTGTAGACTGGTGTGCAATGTTTTATTAAAACAGATTTAACACCCAAATCATGTTGTCAGATTTGTGTCTGCCGGTGAATATACAGTATGTAAGTGGGACAGCCAAAATGAAGGAAGCGCTGTGTTTGCTGATTCAGTGATTGATAGCTGCTCGGGCTGAATGAATAGACTCAGACAGAGATGAGACAAAGACAGATGTTAAAGAGGAAAGAAAAAGCCCGACGGAAGTAAAGATGAGTTGTTGGGATAAAATGTTTGAGCACAGGTATGAGTGGAGGACTGAATTGTGGAGGAAGTAATCGCCAAGCAGGGAGACAGAGGAGAGAGGTTGCTTGTGCTAAGTGGAGCAAGAAATTAAATTCAGGACACTTCAATTCAAAACGTTGCTGCCCTGTAACAAAGTTGGTTTGAGGACAGGTGTTAGAAAATAAACAGAGTGATTATTTAACTCCAAACTCCTCTCCTCTCTCATCTCTTTCCTTATCTTTACCTCCCATCCTGCTCCCCACTCCCTTGTCACGTGTCCAGGCAGAGGTAGTTGTTTTTGAAAACAGTACAGACACACACACACACACACACACACACACACACACACGCAGAGTGTCCTAATCAAAGCCAGGCTCTGCACATTGTGTCCCAGTTGAGCAGCTATTTTTATCTGCGGTGCTCTAACAGGGATGGAATGGGTCAGATAGGCCAGGCTGACGAATCCATCAAGACCAACAGATAAACAGTCAGCCTGCTAGACCGGCTGTACGCGCACACACACACACACACACACACACACCCACACACCCACACACACACACACACACTGTAGAAGTAAACAAATAAACCAATTCTGTTTCTTTATCACAAATGCAAACTCACATAAAGGCCTTGCTCTCTTTCTGCCTCTGTATATCCCACTCGCTCACACACACACACACACACACACACACACAGACACATGCACATTTAGGAGGTAGTTCCCATCTATGATGTTGTTTTGTGTCGTGTTCCCACCTGTGTAATATTCTTCTGGTATATGTGTTTATATCTGTATTCCCTTGGTTTTTTCTTCCTTTTTAATACCTGTGCCTTCCTACACTCTCTCACACATACACACACACACACACACACACACACACACACACACACACACACACAGTCTGTCCTGTCCCATTGGCACCATGGCAAATCTTCAGGCTCACACATGCATGATGCTGCCACACACACACACAGATGTGGTTAGAGACACATGATTACTGATTTGCCGTTGTGAGAGTTGGCAGAGGTCCCGTTTCTGGCTTGTTAGTTTGGGATTCAAGTGCTCTGGCTTGGACCCAATTAGTTTCTCTACCTTCCTTCCTCTCTCTGCAGTTACTTTGCTGTCACGACTATGGGTTGGGTAGTCTGTTCAGTATATAACACCTGAAAAACCACAGTATGTTCTTTACATAAACAGAGATGATCCATTATTTGTCCTGTACATACACATCAGTGTTTGTAATAGCTGCAGCACCTATGAGGACATTAAACTGCTATAAACCTTTACTGTGGTGTACATGGTCTTGTAAAAACATTTACAGAACAGTAAGGCCACAAGTTTACATTAAGTGCTGTGTGTGTGTTTCTGTGGCCGTGTTTAGAATCACATACTGACATAATATTCATACTAAGTATGACGTGAAATTGAGTGTGTATGTGTACTCGAGAAATGCCCTCATGAGAATGAGACGTGAGCTTACTGCCCATACTCAACTGCCCCACAATGCATTGCGTCAGGCTAAATGCTGTCACTTTATTACGTTTTTCAATGTTTTTCATGCAACAAAGAAACGTTATACGTTAATATGCAGTACATTAGTATATACTAAGTTAGTGTGCAGTAAGTAAGTATGCAGTGCGTTAGTGTGCAGTAGTTTGGTATGTAGTACATTAGTATACAGTACGTTAATATGTAGTACTCTGGTATGCAGTGTGTTAGTATGTAGTACTTTGGTATGCAGTGTGTTAGTGTGTTAATATGTAGTACTTTGGTATGCAGTATGTTAATATGTAGTACTTTGGTATGCAGTACATTAATATGCAGTACTTTGGTATGCAGTACATTAATATGTATTACTTTGGTATGCAGTACATTAATATGTATTACTTTGGTATGCAGATCGTTAATATGCAGTACTTTGTTATGCAATATGTTAATATGTAGTACTTTGGTATGCAGTACATCAATATGTAGTACTTTGGTATGCAGTGTGTTAGTATGTTAATA